CGGCTCACGAGCAACTTGGCTCAGGCACCTCCATGGGGCCTTCGCCTTGCTTGAGAAGTTCTCGCCAACGATTGACCCAGAGGTGTCCACCTTTGCGCTCAAATACTTTCGGTTCCGGTACACACTGCTGCAGACCACACACCCCAGGATCATCCCGGCGTGCTACAGCCTCACAGATTCGGCGGCCAATGAGATGCATGAGATGACGCACTGGTTTATGGACGATCTGGGAGCGCCCAGTAGCAACAATGCTATTGATGAGCACACCGGATGCTCCTCTGTGATTGCCGACATCATCGCTCAGATATCGACACTTGCGTTGCAGTCAAATGCCAACTCGATTTCGCGAGAGAAGATCCAGAATGTCGCCCATCATCTCGAACACCGGCTGTCTGTGATAGGCTCCACGCCACCTGCTACTGACGATGTCTACCTCGCCAATAGCGCCGAGTCATTCCGTTACGCAGCCCACATCTATCTCCTCCTTGCGTGCTTCGACATGCCCATCAAACATGCGTCTGTAATTGACCTTCACCACATATTGATGGACTATCTCACTCTGGTCATAGTAAAGGATCAGAAGAGGCGTCTGTTCCCCATGTGGCCGCTCTTCATTGCGGGATGCACCTGCTCCTGCGACGAGCAGCGTAAGGCTGTCATCGACCTCTTCACAATCTTGGAGGATCAATGGCCTGTGAGTAACGTATCGGCCGTCTGGTCGGTGCTAAGGACTATCTGGCAGGCGAGAGACCTGTCCGTGGCCTGCCAGCCAACAACTAAACGCCTGGACTGGCAAGACATTATCCACCGCTTTGGATGGAAGTTGTCACTCACATAAATCCCAACCCTCATCAACAAAAAGTCGAATTAATTCCCTTGTTAGCCATCATGTACCAACCGGTAAATACGTCAGGGAGCTATATTAGACCTCTTTCTGGTCTCATCCTCTGGCTATGATTTTTCCCCCTCATCTTTCTCGCTACTTGTAACTCCCTCGCCATCAACTTGCAATGGAATACGCCCCTTGGCCTTTCGCAACAAGGCCAAGCGAGGTCCCGTTTGATCTGCCCAACAGACAAAATCACATATCAAAAAGGGTGGTACGGATCTTTCACCCTGGCTGCTTGATTTCATTCCTGATGCTTCTCAATGGGGCGTAGGCTAGAGCATCATAACAGTCACCGCCCCTTTGTGTTCAGTTGGCTTTAGTGCGTGAATACGTTCCCCACGGGGGCTCGTAAGGCCGGTGGTTGCTGGATTGGTTTCTGAATTATGTGCTTAACGTTGTTGTATCGTATCCTTGTGAAAATTAGGACGGGTTTATTTGTGTATGGAATGTCTGGTGATTGGGAATAATAGTATTATGAATGAATGAATGAAGTTTTGTTAGTTGACCACCAAAAGCCAACGGCATCAAACCTCACCAATCTTTGTTGAACTTGAGTATGAAGGACAGTCGCCCGACAAGAGCTAATTTTACTGCGGTAGGGGTTAAAAATAAGGAGGTATTAGGAAGCAGAAAGACAAGTACGGGATATCTCCCAATGAAATTCGTGGTATCATTTGCCATTCGCCAACCGACTAATCCGAGGGGCGGGCATCCAAATAAACTGGTATATACAGCAGCATATGCACACATAAATACATACATATATATATAAAGAAAGAAACCCCGCGTCCTCCATTTCGCTGTCTGCCTTTCGTTCCGGATCCGCTGATTCTTCCCTCTATTGGGGGGTATCGATATGAGGAAGAGCTGAAAATAATAAGAAAAGTAAAGAAGGGGAGGGGGATGAGATGAATAAGGCGGGGAGAGTGAATAGATGTGTGCCCATCGCTCATCGGCCTTGAATGGCCAGGTCTTGTATCTACTCCGTCTGTATGGGAGCGAGCCACCCTATGTATGCCACGCTGTCCGATGCAAGAAAACCCAAAAAATGATATGAAAGAAAAGCATAAGCGGATATCCAACTCCTGTCTAGCTTCTGTAGTGTGGCGGCGATGGTGCTCCCTTGTGTGATGTGTTAAAATACCAAGTATGCGCTGCTTCAGGCATGTTACATCTCGGCCGAGGATGATTAATTCATGATTCTTGGAATCCGTTTGACTTGTTTGCCATCCGCAGCTCCAGCACCTTCTCATCCGACCCCTTTTGCCGCTTGGTCGCCTCGTCACTCTTCTCCTTCAGAACGTCGCAGTGCGTTCTTAACATCTCCTCTCCAATGACAAGCTCAAACCCGGCTAGGAAGCAAAAGCTGATCTCCAGCCGCGCCAGCTCTGCCTCACTCACACCGCCAACTTTGGCAACCTTGGAGTGTGGATAGGCCAAGTCCTCGAGCGCCTTGGTAGCCACGCGGAGTCCCGCCAAAACGAGGCGGTGCACGTTCCGTCTGGTGACATGGATGGCACACTGCTCAACAGCAAGTCGGTGGATATACAGCGAAGTCGCGATGTACACGGCCGTGCTCATGGGGCAGAACTGGTGCAGCCGTAGGAGGTATTGCGTGATCGTAATGGGGGGCTCGAGTTTCGAATAGAATTTGCGAGTGATGGCACTATGTTGGGTGTTTAAAGGACGTGAGTCGCCAGAGATGATGACATGCTCGGGAGCTCGAGGAGAAGGAGATTTCAATCGCACGCCGTCGATTTCTGGCTGCTGAGTATTTGCCTGGCGCGATCGGTCAAATGAGACATCGTTGATTTGGTCCTGCGACCTGGGTTTGTTGTGGTGAACGCGAGCATCCGCCCTCCCTGGGGCTGGGCTGGATCTTCGTGACCGTGCAATTATATCCTTCTCGGCCTGTAGTCCACTCATCTGCGGATCGGTGGGCGACCTCGGAGGAGGCGTTGGGGGGATGTCGCCGGTGACATGGACGAGAGTTTCAAGGCTCGCGCTGAGCAAGCGCAGAGCTTCCGAGGCCGCAAGCCTGGCAAAGTCTTGATCAATGGGAGGGATAGAGGGAGCCTTGGTCGTGGTCTGGTGAAGTTGGAGTGTCGGCTGGAGAAGTCTCGTCTGCGTTGTGGTCGTTAAGGAGGCGCAGTCGGTCATGGCTTCGGGCGTATGCAGGAATGATGGGTGCTAGGAATACTGAGAATCAAAGATGTTTTCTTTCTTCACGAGTCAAATTCGCTGAAAAGGCCCAGTCGTTTCGGGAACTCGATTCTGCTGGGTCAACTGAGCGAGCGCCTTTCATTGTCCCGTCGCCGACGCGGTTTCTCGTGTAGATTTGGTGTCTGTCTGGCGGTCCAGAGAGAGGCTACCGTTGGAGGCCGTTTGCTTTGATATTTTGTCCCCAGTAGTCTCTTGTGTCTCGGTCGCGTGGGGGAAAGGAGCCTGAAAAGACGGGGTTCGTGTAGGTCTTGGGGAGGGGAGCGGGCTTGAAGAGACTGCAGAGAAGAAACGCGTGGAGCCAAGGTATTAATATGGACAGTCAATTCAGCAAGCCGGTTATGGAATGTTTGGGGATGGGTTGATGGCTCGTGGAGGGGTGGGAAGAGGGAGGGAGATGTACCGAACTGGCATTGAAAACCTCGAGGCACCGGCCGGCAGCGACTACAGCGCCTCGGAGCATGGCACGAGGCGGGCTACAGTGGAGGCGACCGCCCAAGGCGGCATAAGGGCATCACATACTGCTGCTGAGGAGCCACCCGCAGCAGGCTGCAGGTCCCTAAACTGCTTCAGGCAGTGAGGGGTCGTTGCCAGTCCAGTGGAGCCTCGCAGCCGTCAGCCCACCATTCAGGCCCTTCGCTCGGAATTTGGTGGTTCGCTTGCTTGAGAACTGTCACCCGACGCCTCGACCGAGTCTGGACCCTCAAGGCAGCGTCTTCTAACTCGCAGGACCGCCGAGAAAACGGTGGGGAAGGGGGACCAGGGCGCACATGATGATCACAACGTGATTATCCGACATGGGGCTCTGTCTTTTGCGCTCTGAGAACTCCAAGATGTGCAGGTGTGATTTCCATCTTGGCCGCCACCCAGATCAGTTCTGTATGCGGAAAATTCAATCGCCAGGACAGTTGCCACCAAGACCTGGGAGGCAGCTTTATAATCTGGGCCTCTCGATTGACGATGAACTAGGCTCGACCATCAAGGGCTTGTCAAGTCTTTTCAGTCATGTCCATGATCCTGCAGGTGGGTAGGACCACAAGCTCCAAGCCCTGACCTCTTCGAATCATAAAGAGATACTTACAATCGATGCGAGTCGCACTCAGGCGTCCGTGTACAGGGACGGCTCCGCTACAGAGCCGCCGGTCACCTACTAGTGTTCTAGTTACGAATTAATCGCCCTTGGTTTGCGTGGAAACCGCTAATCGGCGGGTCGGCGCCGTGCCCTCATCGCACGAAAGCCCAAAAGACGACCAATACGCTTTGTTGAAGTCCTTATTTATCTTTGCTTTTACCACGGCGGCCACCCCCAAAGCGGTCGGATCTGCATATCTTGTCCATGTACCTGAAAAGTGCCCGGACCCCCACTTGGAAGCAAGAATGATCTGATGGCAGGGCATCTCCAATGCCTTGGCAAGCGGAGCATCGGCATGGGGAGGGACTCGGACGCCGCCCAAGAAGTAGAGTGAGAACTGACCTGGGCCCAAGAGCTTAAAAAATCACCCGATAAATCCCTGAACTGTCCACAGCAGGGACGGTCTAGAAGTCTTGCACAAGACTAAGAGATGCACCCTTCTGTTCTGGAGTGTCTTTTCAAACACCAATCTCCATAATCTTACCGATGTCTGCTTTACCAGGGCCGATATTCCGCTTGGCATATAGGCCGCCATGACTTCGAGACGAGCGTCAAGTGGCTATGTGGCGTACAAACTTGCCTCACTTCTACACTTGCCCTTGGCTGAGCTCTCGAGGCCTTGAGAGGTCCAATGCTCATGGTTCTCGCTAAGATGCTTGGCCTCACTAACGTACTGGCCGTGTCCTGCAGAATCTTCAAGAGTGAAGGTTTGGGAACAGTGTATTTGCTTATAGATAGGCCATTACTTCCTCTGCCGAGCTAAACCGGCTCACAAACAATCTTGCAATCCAACACCATCGTCGTGCCCGCCTGCACCGTGGCCACTGCCTCCTCGAGTACCACCTCGAGCTCCGCAGCCTTCTCCACCTTCATTGCATGGATTGGCCCCCCTCCGGCGGCCTTGGCGATGCCTGCATAGTCTGGAACAGGCTCGAACGAAATGTTAATCTCCTCGCTGGTCGCCTTTGCGGCAAGGCCGTTGGGGACTAGCAGCATTGATTTGCGAGGCGCATTCCATCCTTCATTTGCACCACCAGGTTTATTCATGTTGTTCTCGCGACAGGAAAGAGTCAACTCTGCAGTGAGCACATACATTCATTGTTGAGGACAATAGCCAACACGGGAATCTTGTACCGCTGTGAGATCTAGTACATGCTTCCCGGTACTGAGAAGAGATATGTTCCATCTCCTACGATCTACACCACAAACCTGCCCTTGCCCTCGCCACCAGCTTCAGCATCACTTGCCAGCTTGATACCCAGCCAGCCAAGGCGACCACCCCCGCAGTTGATGAAAGACAGTGGCTTGGTGGGCCGTGTGTTGTTGTGGATAAACCCGGTATTGGTCACGGCCTTATGTGCCTAAATGATATCCTCAGGATGAATTCAACGTAGTACCTTGCTTAGGAAGCCTGTGCCGAAGCGGCCATCACTTTGAGGCCCAGATGCTCTCTCGATGCCTGCAATCTTGGCGTCAAAGGCCTCTCGCCGCTTAGCCTCGACAGAAGACTGATCTATGGCCACCAATACCTTGGAGGCTTTGAGATTGGCGGCGATTTGCTCGATAGAAGTGAGCGCGTCGGCCTTGCAGCGAGTCTCAGCCTGGATATATAAAAGGGGCATCGACTTCTTCAGTAGATCAACGTCAATATTGAAGATCTTTGCATCGATTCTTGGCTCACTTACTTGTGTTGGGAATGAGAGCAGTGATGGGTTTTGAGCTGGCAGCTGCATCCACATTGTAAATCAAAGAGATACAAAGTGAGGCCTGCGTGATGGTGGATCTGGATGAACACTAGAATACCCGGGTTGTTGGAGAATAACACGTCACTCCGTTTGTCCTGGCGTGTGTGTGTCGTTCGAGAGGTATTGGCTGAAGGTCTGGGATAGCTACATAGGTAGCTGAAGTAATAGCTACCTACCTTATCTACGGGCCGCCGTCCACCTCCTCCCGCAGCTGGCGCATTGTGCCGATTCTGGCCGTTCAACAGCCGGAGTCTGCTGACATCTGATGGATGGGCCATCGGGTTGGAAATGCAGATGAAGGCGCGGGGCGGCGAACAGGAACCCTTGGTCAATCGCGGGGTTGGATGACCAGTAAGCCTTCAGATTCAAGGTTGTTGCTCCTCTCCCGTGCTGACAGCGACTAATCCCATGATAGTACGATAAGATTTGATCCATGCCGGGGCTCTCACTCCTGGGACCATACACTTACTGCAGGTGATGATGATGTGGTTAGGAGTGTCAAGTGGAAATTATGCAAGTGAGTATAGACGGACTGGATAAAAGATATTTACAACCATAGAGAACCAGCGACGCCAATGATGGCAAGAGCAAGCTTAATCTTCCTGCTCTGCTCTCCTTGATTCGCCTCGCCCTTTTCCATGTCCTGGCCACCGGTGTCACAGTCTCTCAGCTGGCTACACTAATTTGCCGGCTCGACACTCTGAGGGTTGCGGAAAATATTATTGGGATCCCACTTCTTTTTCGCCTCCCTGAGTTGGGGCAGCTTGTCTCCCCAGTAGAACTGGTTCGCAGCCTGTCTATCCAGCGTCGGATCAATGTAACCTGCGTAGGTTGTGTTGGCATTGGGCGCACCAGCACGCACACGTCTCTGCACTTCCTCCACAAACGCCTTGGAGGTGTCTGAAACCTCAGGGATACCGATCACGTAGGACTGGTACATCATGACCTTGTCGCGGTGCGGGTATGAGTTGCCCTCGGTAAAGTCGGCCATGGCACCACCCTCCGAGTTGAAGATGAGCGTCCAGATGATGGTTCCCTTGTCAGCTTCGTCGAGGTATGTGAACAGATCGTCAACTGCGGCATCAGAGAGAAGGTCCTCCTCGCGGAACGCTAGGGACCGGCTTGTGAAGGGGTTGGGCAGTTCAGCTAGGCCCAAGCCTGCTACCTCGGCCTGGTGTGCGATAGATCCCAACCACGACACGAGTTTGAAGTCGACATCACCGCCACTAGGGATCTTGTCCTGGATTCCCGTGGCCTTGTACTCCTCTTCCGTTCCGTAAAACGTGCCTGTGATGAGGGCGCCTAGAGGTTGGGCGAAGAAGAGAGTCGAAAATCGCCGGTCTAGTTCGGGATCTCCGGCAAGTGCCTGCCATTTCTTGAACACGCTTGCCATCTCTTTCTGAGAGCCGAAGCTGAGGCTATATGTATACTCAACCACGTTGCCAGGCTCTGGATGGGTGTGCACTTTGAACTTGGTCACGATGCCGAAGCTGGCACCGGCACCCTTGATTCCAAAGAAGAGATCCGCATTCTCTGTGTAGCTGGCCCGCCTGATCTCTCCGTCGGCAGTGACGACCTCTACTTCTTCGACATGATCCAGCGCGCTTCCCCACATCCTCGACATGGGCCCCAGTCCGCCCTGCCATGGTCATTGTCAGCAGCATGCCAATAGGCTAAACGCCGTTATCAAACTTACAATTGTCGCGTGGCCGCCGACCCCAACGCTGGGGCAGGTGCCGTGCGCAATTGCCCGGGCGCCGTTGTTGTGGAGGTGTGCGTCCAGATCTCGGTGACGGAGCCCTGAACCGTAGGTTGCCATCCAGGTGCTCTCATCCATGCTGAAACTGTTTAGGTTGACCAGGTCGACTGCAACGGCTCCATCTTCACCCCCAAGTCCAAAGTTTCTATCCACGGATAGTTAGAGACGAGGACAAAGAGTGGCCACAGGACATGCCATCTTGCGTGGGAGCGAGATGGGTTTGAACTACTTACCCATAAGAATGGCCACCGGACTTGGCCTGGATGGCGACATTATATTGTTTCGCACATTTGACTGCACCTGCTACCTCCTCCGCAGTGTTGGGGCGGATGACGGCGGCAGGAGTGACTGGAATGTCGAGGTTGAAGGGCTTGACCCAGGCCAATTGATATAGAGGATCGCCAGCAAAGCTGACACAGGTGAGCAGCCTGATGCCACAAACCGCTCTCAAACACTGCTTGAGTGACATGGCGTATGTACGAAACAAATGCTACTCGGGGTAAAACATGAGAGGATGGCTTGTGCGGGTTGATTGAAAAAGAAACAATGAGCGATGGCTAGGAGTAATATAGGGAAGAGAGGAACAGATGTGAAGGGAGTGACATCGCATTCCGTTCTGGGAACCATAAACTCGACGACTTCCAGGGAAGGAAGTTCCAGGGGGGCGTTCTTGTGCATGCCAGTGCCGCAGCCATCTTGTATAGACACCCTATGTATAAGATCATCCTGATGTATGCTTAATGGTGCTACAGCTTGCGGAAAATGTAGGCCCTGCACGCTGCCAAGGGGTGTTCCTGTTTGCTCCTTCTGGTCCAATAGGGCCGTTGTCTCGGCTACTGCCTTGTTTGCTAGCTTTAGATTTGGTTGTTTCGCCTATTATATGCCAATCTTTCAATTTACACGACATGTGGCAAGACACGATGCCAAATGATTTAAGACAGAGCTGCTCAAAGTGAGTGCATCTGGCTGGTATTTTTCTACTTTGACATTGTGCTTTTCATCTCCCCCCTCCGCCTCTTTCTTCCAAGATTTCGGAGGGAACACTTGACGGCGTATTCGGGTTCAGATCTGGGTTCTGTTGTTGAAGGGTTGGGTTTCACTTGCTGGGATACCCCTGTTCTTGATGGCCTGCTTGCCGCCATGAATTGTCATGCGCCCCTCACCAGGCTCCGGATTGCAGGACGAAGGCTTGATCTTTTGTGTGTTTGACTGACATCTTCTCCCTCAAGTGACGAAATCTTTCTAGGCGTAGCTTGGTTACACCTCTGGCTTGTCAGTTGTGGCTTATTGGAGACGCGGCCATGCCGGTGTGTCCTGAGGAAATTATGGTGCGACACACCATGAAGAAGGAGGGGATTGATGGGATGGCCTCTCCTACTTTCATTCGTCCAGCAAACAGCCATCCATACGTAATGGCCCCAATCATCATGCCCGTGAACAAGGATTCGTGACTCGGAAACCTGCAAATCCGGACAGCAGGTCCAGGCACAGGCACGGCGACAGCGAGGGGGAGGGGCTTGGCCTCCCATAGCAGAAGGAGGGGGGAGACGATCTAGAATGAGCTCACCCGCCTGCGGGGGCCGATCATTGCCTGCTGGCTAATTGGTAGCTGTCCATTTTGGGGCAGTGGTCTTTGAGTGCCTTGGATTACGGACTGTCCGCCGATGGCAGTCATGATCAGATGATTTGGCGACCGGAGGGTTACCGGAGGATCAAGGCTGGATGGGACGGACCCTGGTAGGATTTCCAAGAGGTGATATGCATCATGAAAAGAGGCTACATGCCGGGATGGGAGCCTCTCAAGATCTCCAGTCGATTAATACCCGAGCTTGGCAACCCCTGTCCAGCAAAGGGTAGTGGCACACACCTGCCAAAGCGAGTATGCTTTCTGGATTTGTAAATGGGAATCGCGAAATGGCTCACCGATATATGCCCGGTGCAACTCTGCAAGTACCGGATACCGCAACGCGCGGTAACGAACTACCGACACCTCCTGATGGTGCTGCCTACTTGCAACGAGCATTTCGTCCTTCTTAACTTAAACATTATGTCCTCTTGGTGCTCGGTGCTGTTGCTGCTAGCCGACAGGTACATGAGTTAGCAATGATACTGCACCATGGTCACTAGGCTTCGTGTATATCTTTGCATTGAGATAAATGAGCGCAACGAAGCGGCTGTTTATTGTCCGATAGACTGGGTACCCGACAAATCCTGAATGGAGGATCACGCCCGGCGCTGTCCTTCACGCCGCTTCTATTCATGTTTTCCATCCCGCCCACGCGCAAAAGACCGACTGCAATCAATTTCATTTCCCTTTCCCGCTATACATAGATCCTTAGAACGCTTCATTTCATTCGTCTGCTTACGACACAGTGACCGAGGAAGTTCCCTTGCTGTTGTATGCCTCGGTGGCAACAATCTGGTAGTAGTGGGTTCCCAGATTCATGCCCTTCGAGGCCCAGGCGTTGAAGACTGTGCCCATGTTGACCGTGCCGGAGGTGCGCTGGCTGTCTCGGATGGCCCAGTACTGCTGGAAAGTCTGGGTGCCGTCAATTGATGGCGCGTTGTATCGAGTGCTCTGGTACAACTGGTATGTGGCACCGTCGATGGTGACAGAACCCTTGGAAGTAGCAGACGACCCCTGGAGGAACCAGACCGTTAGGGACTAATCAAGATACATTGGAGGAACAGCATAGACTTACAGGGTTGTACTCGCCGTGTGCTTCGACGACATAATACTCAATGAGCGGGCTGCGAGTCCACCCATAGATGGTGAGATACTTCGTCACGTCAGCGTCATGAATCTTCCAGCCTTGTACCTGGCGCCACTTACGCTGTTTCCGTTGTTCACAGGCTTCCAATTCGCCGAGTAGGTGATGGATCTGTTGTGCAAGTCAGGAATTTGACATTTTTGACTGGCTGAACCGTGCCAGATCGCGGCAGGATCAAATCTTACCGCGAAGTTCCTGGGTTCCAGCCCTTTCCACCGACGAGATTTCCACCAGCCTCCCACGAAATGCTATAGGAACCTGCATTTCCGTTGGTGTAGGTCGCAGCTGCGTTACCGTCGGACCACCAAGAGTAGAAAAAACCATTGTGAGTTCCCTCAGCGTTGGGGGTGACTGCCCGGCTTTCGAGGTTGGGGTTAAGACCGGGAGCTGCGGTAGTGCCCGAGATGAAGGCGCATGTTGCTGCGAAAAGGGTAGAGAAATGCATGTTGTCTGGGTTGATTGTTGGTTTGTTTATGTGCTGCAGTGGTGATCAATGTTGCTGGAGTATCGAGATATCCCTTCCCCGAACGAAGGACAAGGCGATCAATATATACTCAAACATTGCTCCCTTTCGCAAAATCCAAGGAGAGCAATTCGAAGTCAAGATACACAGTCAAATATCTCGGTCGGCTGCTTCCGAGTTCCTAGTTGGGCCAGTTCACCTTGGATGCCGTGCCCGAACCGTCGCTGGTGTTTCAGTTCTGAGGTTGAAACCGCCGTAACGGTGTCAGGATCCACTTGATTTCCTCGTAATTAGCCTCGACATTCGACATGCTTACCAAATACGAACGATTTCGGGAATAAATAACGTGTTACAGCCGTGCTGATGGCGACAAATGCCGTTGGAGAAGTGCAATGGGCATCACGGGAAGCCGGCAACTGTCAGAGCCTAAATCAAGCCAAGCCTAAATGCTTTCTCATCTCATCAAGCATTTAGGCTCGCTGCTCATAATGACAGAACTAGCCTGAATTCGAAACGTAGCAGAAGACGTCAATGCGAAATGGCTGACACCAAACCGCAGCTGGTCAAAACAGCTTCCCCAGTGCGCTGTCACCTCATTCATCCACAACGAGCTCATACTAGGTACGTAGGTACATACACGTACCTTATTCAGGCGGTTGAAACTGTTGAATGTCGATAGCTCCTGACAATTCGTTATGTGATCACGTGACTGAAGATGAGGTACCAAGTGCCATTTGATCCAAGCTTGTCTGAACTCTGTGCACCTGTGTGACGAGATCCAAGCGCTCCTCTCTCTGTGCCAAATCACCTCAAACACGTAGACGAACACAATCAAACCGGGGATGATGGGTTCACTCACTTTGAAAGCCTCAGGGTGGCTCGAGCGCTTGGGTGCTGGCCATTGTGGCTCTGTTTGGGGCAATTTGACATCCCCTGAAACAGACCCTGTCCCTGTTGTCATCAAAAGGGAAGATGGAGCCCCGGGCCGATCCCTGAGAAACGAATTCCTTGTACAGTCGCAAATCTGCTCAACCGCAAGCTTAGAGCAGGTGCTCGTGCCGTCATGCTTGGACTTCATGGAGAGTCAGGACCCGAGATGGCATCAGATACTGCCTCAATTACCCGATGGGTCCCAAGGCTGCAATGCAATGCTTGCTGAAAAGATACAGCCGGTGTCGATCCGAGCTCGGCGCACCCTTGTTGAGAATTACTGCCCGGATGAATTGAGAGATCAGATTTTGAACAGCAAAGAGAATCACCACTGCTTGGTGCGAGTCTATCTTGGCCGTAAGCGCCGGTTGAATCCTAAACAACGACAAACTAGATTCTTCAGCCTCCGCAATTTCCCCCTACACATCAACCATGCCGAGGAAATGGCCTTGCCCTGTGAATCGTACGCCAAAGCCATGGCCGAGGCGCTAGCAACTCTGCACTGGAAAGTGAGAACCGATGCTGCTGATGTCGAGTTCGTTCTCGCTAGCCCAAGAGGAGATCCCGAGGCCAATACCAGTGCACTGGGCGAGCATCCTCTCTGGATGCTTGACTTTGATTGCTCAAGACCAATCAAAGCAGATGATTCCGGATTGACAGCCATAGCGAAGGCATTTTGGGGAAATGACCCATATTACCCACGACCTCATAGTACGGATGGGCGATCCCAGAAGCTGTGGGATATATTTTCGGCAGAGTATCGACGCGTTGGTCTAGAAATTGTACGAGTTTATCCCATGGGTGAAACCCCAGAAATATTATCCGAACTTGTCCATGCTGCAATTGGCAGAATTGAGGAAACTCATAGCCACAGCCAATCTTTGCCTATATCAAGAGACTTTACCCAATGATTTTAGGTTCCCAAAGGTCGATCTGCTTTCGTCATGTTGCTTTGGGATCGAAACAGGCATCATTCAGCCTTGCATGGTTGATACATTGGATTCAGCCTAAAAAGAACGATCAAGTTGGCTTCATGGGATCGGCATTCAGGCTTTGTTCGAGGAGGCCATCCATCAGTGATAAGTTTGACTCCATTGGGGGCAATTTGGAAACAATTCGTGCTTCGAATTTTACATCGTGTTAAACCTTTTGGGCCTGTGTTCCGTTCCCGGTATACAGCATCCAGGTGCCAGTGTTCCCAGGGCCTCTTTATGCCTTTACAGAAAAGTCGCGAGCCCGTACGCCCCCATACCTCGGAGTGTGTGCAATCTCCACCAACATCAGCACATAGAGAGTTTCTGGGTCTACCAAGTGCAGCATATCATCTGCGAACTGTTGTTACAGGATGACTGTTATGTGCAAAACGTACAAACTGGCTGGACACACACGCTCATGGATTATGCCCTCAACGACGGGCCTGGGTCTGGCCATGTCTCATCTGCCGACGATTGGGATATCTTGACCTCTAATTTGGGCCGAGACACTATAGCCTGAACCTCACGTTGAATCAAAATTTGTATCAGCCGTACTGGAGTGCGAGGTCATGCCTGAATCCCACACAGCCCTTGCTAGTATTCATGGAAGCGAATGATTTATATTGAATACCAAGTTATGTATTGAGAGGAATTATTGTCACGGTTTCCATACGATACTGTACCCCCCTGAAGTTATCCCACCCATGGCAGCCGAATGCCTCTCTTCTTCACTCTATCGCGCTTGGTCTCGCATCCAGGAATAAATTGCGCAGGCACTCCACCAAGTGTCGGGATGACCTTCTCAATCAGACCAGTTCCGGTGTTGAATATTAATTTATCAATAGTCGTCTCGCGCATCGTGCCATTTCCATTTGGAATACCGAACCGGTGATATGCAATGTACCAGTCATCCGTATGAGGTACGTTGATGATCGAGCTGTGCCCTGTGCCTAGAATTCCCTGCGATGTATCCTTCTCTAGAATGACTCCCTGGTAGGTCCACGGTCCGTCAGGGCTGGGTCCAGTGGCATACCCAACCCGATAGTTCTCGGAACGGGTGTCGTCTATGGAGTATGTGAAGTGGTAGATGCCATCGCGGTAGTTCATGAAACTTGCCTCGCGATAGTTTGTGAGGCCCTCCATATTCGCCGCAGTATCCCAATTGACGGAGACCATGTCATCATTCAGCTGAGCGTACACGGGCGTGCCATTACCCCAGTAGAGGTAGTACTTCCCTGTGGTTTGATCGTGCCAGACATAGGGATCAATCGCTCCTCCAGAGGTCCTTACGGGCTCATCCCCAGTAACCATGGGCTTCTCCTGGGCCACAAAGGGACCAAGGGGTGAATCCCCGACAGCCACGCCCATGACCTTGTTGGAATGCTCGGGACTGTTGCCACTGAAGTAGAAGTAGAATTTCCCATCTCGCTCGATGATTGTTGGAGCCCAGGCATTCCCCGTGGCCCAGGGGACATTCCCGTTCACACCATCGAGCACCAGAAACGGATCTTCCGAGCGGATCCAGTCCACGAGATTCCGCGACTTCCAAGAGTAGAACTTATTCCCACCCCACCCAGGGATCCCATCGGTAGTGGCATAGATGTAGTAGTTGCAATCTCCCTCAAAGACGACCATGTTCGGATCAGCAAAGTAACCAGGAAGGACAGCTTCGTCTGCATTGGCCCGCTGCGTCTCGCCTCTGAGCGCTGCCAGCTCAGCCTTGGTAACTGGAATGACCGTCCCATGCCGGGGGCTCGAGGGTAGAGAAAAGGATTCAGGAACTTTCCAATCTGGATTGGCAATATCGGCGGTAGCTAGGGGGATGTATTTCCGGCCTGTGTACTCATCGACGAAGAGGTAGAACTTCTCGCCATGAACGTCGTTGGGGTTGGCCTTGAAAGCTGTCGGGCCCTCCACGCTGGATGTTCCTGCGTTGCGTCCAATACAGGATGCAATTGTCTTCCATCCTTCTAGAGTGTCTCGCAGTCGTGTGGAGCTTTCTTGGATGATATCAGAGCAGCCGCTGCCAGTACCTCCCTCGTCCTTGGTGAAGCGGTAATATACACCATTGTCTTTCAGAACAGTTGTATCAATCCGGGACATACCAGCATCCTGCCACACGACTGGCTCGGTGAAAGTAACAAAGTCGCGCGTTGTTGCGTACAACATGCGATGGTAGCTCGAGCCTTCATGATTTGGATCATCTTCACCATAGAGCGAAGAAGCCCAGAAAACAAGATATGCGCCCAATTCATCGTCATAGTATGCCTCCGGGGCCCAAGTATTTCCCGCGTTTGAGGGTGCAACCTTGATGTGGCGCTGAGCAGACCAGTTGATCAGATCGTTGGATTCCCAGACTTCAAGATACTGGCTTCCTTTCCGAACTGCATCATTCCAAGATGTTCCGCTTCCAATCGACAAGTCTGTTGCAATTAGGTAGAAAGTATCACCTTCAGGCGAGCGTATGAGGAAGGGGTCACGAAGACCCTTAGTTCCCTGGGTCGATTTGAGGGATGCCTGGCCATCATTCAGTTCTTTCCATGACAGTGCATCGTTTCCATTACTGGCAGCAAAGAAAATATTTTCTCCTGCGAGTGTGTTTCCCACAAAGTAAGAGAATGCGTATCCCTCGTACTCCTCAGCCTCGACGGCGGCCCGAACCTGAGCTTGAATTTCTCTCTCGTGGACCGTGCCATCGTCTTCCTTCGTTGATGCTGTCAGTGTGACCTTGGTGTTGGTTTGCTGTCTGACAACCCAACCATCCTGAGAGATTATGTCGTTGTTGGAGCTGGCCCATGAAATGTTGACCCCATCGGATGAAGATGGGAGATTGATATTGCCACGAACATCATCGATATTATGGAGCTTGATTGCGTCGAGAGCAGCCTCAATCTCCTGAACACTTGCACCCTGCGTCAGGCCAAGCACGATGGCCAAGACCAAACTAGCCCCTGGTGATATCAGACGCATTTTCTTCTGCGACAGAGGCGAAAGGCACAGTTCACAAAATTACCGCAGCCCCTCACAAACGCCAACTTTGACGGCGGTGGTCTTTTAATACTTGGAAGAAGAAGTCATGGTTGGCCTCGGTAAAGCACAATCCGAGTGACAGCAACTAGGCAACAGATTGGACCGAGAATTCGGCCCATCTTTATGGTCTTTCCCCTCTGGATTGGAGAGACATCCTGTTTGACTTTATCCGTTGAGCTTGTGGAAATTTAAAATCTACTGGCCATGGCAGGCATTATACTCGTTTTTACCCGCAAGGTTGTGGGGAACTGGGGGGACGTTACGAAGACTACACTTTATCCAGTACGCGCCTCCAGTGGTGATGTCCGTATATATGGGGACATGGAGATCATTACATACCTAATCTAGAGCTGGGAAGGAGGTATTGGGAATCCGGAGATGATTGCCATGATCAGTGCGGAGGTGGTAGCGGGGAGATGCGATGCGCTCGAATCAAGTGCCGAGTCCACCGGAAGGGATCGTCGGGAAGCTATTTTCAGTCTCACCCACCAGGCGAGTGACATCGAACATGAGACGCTCAAACATTAGGCTGCGTCGTCTGCGGCCGATATTGCTAGATTATCAGGTGCTAACAAATACATTGCGCAGATACTACGGTATATATTGTCGCTTTATCTCAGAGTTTCTCTATTCATTTGATTTAGTCTGTTTCACTGGGGGCCTCGTTCCTCTTGTCACTCACTTGCCCACGTCGAAAGTTGTAATTCTTCATCTTTTTGCTTTTCGATTAGGCGGCGGTTCAACTGATATATACTGGTTTCCACTCCCAATTTTGCGGCGATACGTCGCAAAGGCACGGGTGATCCGAGCACCAAGGCCACAAGAGCCCCCAAATCTCCCATTATCACGTCAGCGTAACGGACAAGGCCACAGAGCAGACGAGAAGACTCACGGGCCAGGCTGTAACTTCTCACAATGTCCGGTCCGGGCCGCTATTGTGGGCCAAACCTGCCGTGCTCGGAGTCGGGAGGCTGAGATGGAATCCGTGTGAGATGAGAGAGATCTGTAAGCCCGCCTGCGCTCGTAAGCATGCCCTCTCCCTTCCTTTCTTTTTCTTGATTCGCAGCACCGTGATTCGTCGTGCTTTGATCGTGGCTGTTCCAGCATGTACGATGACGCACATGAGCGTTGCTCCGCTAGTTGCTGACATGTGCCTGAGCGAACAGAAATCGCTCCCTGTGTGTCTCGTTCTGGACCAAGACACGCAGTCCTGGTGCCTAGACGTGCTTCAATACTCTAACCAAGGCCACTGGCCAATCTTCGCGATCGTCCATTGCACCAGATCCTGTTTGACCTTGTTTGCCCACTGTTAGTTACAGTTTGGGTTGTCTGCATCTGCCGCTGACATACTCTGACACACTGCTGTCTTTATCCTGTACGTCCTGTAAGCACAAACACGTCGATGTATGCCAGTTCATCGCATCAGAATTTCATGCGCAAGCACCACTAGTGCTCCCTTCTCCGAAACACTCCTGTATATCCCGGTCTCTCTAATGCCACAAATCCTGCCTTGAAGAGCGTCGCAGCGATCTGAGCCTCTTTCCAAGCCATGGGCACACATGATGAACCCTGGCACAATGCTGGCAGCTTTCTCCATAAGCGAAAGCTCTAAGGCGAGGCAGCTCCAATACCACGCACCCTCCCCAAGAGCAACTCTTGTCTCATTGGGCAGACGTGCATATAATCCACCCCCAACGCAACCCGTTGTCAGCTGCAGACTTGAAGCATGCCCACCTTCGTCTTCCCTCCTTGGCAACATCCCCATGTAGGAGGGCTGAACGGGCCAGGCCGCAGCCAGCTTGTCGTCTGACTGGGCTAGATAGGGTGGGTTTTCCAAGCAAGCTCCCCCCGTATTGGGATGCACCTGATTGAAGCAGTGATAGCACTTATCTTAACAAGGTATATGCGTTGGCTGGCTATATATGCTGGTCTGCCTTACCGGGAGAATCGGCTCCATTCAATCGTGGTGCGTCTGTCTCGCAGGTTGGGTCGCATATGTTGGTTCGCACGAACGAATGACGCCGCAGTTGAGGGTGTGAATCTTGCCCAGTTTGAGTCACCCGGCCGATGACATACGTCTCCCATCTCTGCTCCTCTTCTCAACCACACCTCGTTCTCTCCCGCTAACTCTTAAATGGATTAATTCCCGCGCCACGTTTGTAGTCTTCATCTCGTCTTTCTTCATCAGCATAATACCCTCTATCAAGTTATACGCCGTCGTGGCCATCGCTCAGTTCACAATCGTGTTGGTTGGTTCGATCACAGCATGGCTCCCATGCCAGAACCAGTGCTCTTTGTCCGGAGCCACGATGGTTTGACCAGTGGCGAAATTGGTGCCATGGTAGGTGCCATCATCGGCTTCACTATCATCGTTCTCTTCACGATCTTCTGCTGTATCAACCGCAGCCGGGTGCGCCGTCATCGCCATCGCTCGGATGATGACGAGATCATACGCGTAGAGAAGCTCCCCAGGCGGCCAAATCCAACTCTGCAACACCCGCTCATGGCCAAGGTACGATGGTCACAGAGAGACTTTAGTAATGTTGAGGGTGGTCTCATTCCAGGTGGCCCAAAGTACCCTACCTACCGGGCTCTGCCGATACCCAATCCACGGAACAACCCAAAGGTGTCGAGAGATTATCGCACCGCTCATACATACCGATACTACTAGGGATCCCTAGAGAACAAACTTGAGACTACAACACAAAGGAGGCCAAGAGCAGGCAGCGAGATAAGCAAGCGATTTGGAGGGTTTTGCTCCATTGTCTGGCCATTTCAGAACTGGTCCTGCGAAAGACGATGATCTTGTCTGCCTATCTCCGGCATAGATGATCAGAATCTTGTCTGCCTATCTCCGGCATAGATGATCAGAACATCTGAGATGCAGGTTTCTACTCTACTCCGCCCATCATTTCTTCTATAGAGACCTTTCAAGCAATCTTTCATACGATTGCCAAAAGGAAGCCAATACGTTTCTCCTGGATTCAAGTCGACGAATACATTTCGACCTTCATAACAGGATTTTTGACACTCTCCGCCCTTTCATAGGAACTTTCTCTCTCAGCCCTAGGCTTCCGAAATGCTCGGATTTGCATGGACAATTAGAATTCCATAATCGAGGCAGAGCTGGTCTTTTCAATGTACATGACTATCAAAGCATTTTCAAATCCACCCCTCTATGTTTTTGCGGGTAAATATATGGCAGAATGATAAGCGAGGAATGAAATTATGAACAAATACAAAGACATTACGACACTTTTTACTCTCTTCATTAAATACCACATTCATTAAATTTCAAAATCAAGACAATGTTGGTGGGGAAGCAAGGTATAGAACGCATGGCTACACAATTCTCATGAGTCGGAAAGTTGGCTCAAGATAAAATGAAACTTATAATTAGAGAACGAGTCTTCGGCTTCGATGCACATTAAGCACTTGCAGCGTGGAAGAATAATATACAAAATCGCGTAAAGTCCCTAAACGGCTTGAAAATAAACCCCTAAATCAACAGAATAACAACCTTCCTTCGCATTTTTTAGATCATCATGAGTGTGGAAGCGACCATCGCAGCAGCAACGGCGAGGGCACCACCAATGGTGACACCGCTGGCACCGGCAGTCTTGAGTCCACTGCTGGGGCTGGCACCGCTGTTGTTGTTTCCGCTGCTGCCGCCCTTTCCGGTAGGAACGGGAACAGTGCTGTTGCCGCCGGGGTAGTATGGGCTGGAGGTAGGCTTCACACCATCGTTGGCGGTGACGGTAGGCTTCTGAACGTTGCTGGCAGTGCAGGTAGGGCAGACCTTGACGGCACCACCTGTGGGTTTGGAGGAAGCGCCACTCTGGACAATAGTCGTGGTGATAACTCCGGTGGTGACCTTGCCGATAGGGCAGTCAACAACATAGGCAGGGCACTTGGTGACGGTGTAGGTCTGAGTGATAGCGGTGGTGATGGTGGAGGGTCCTTGGCCGCCGGGAGCGTTCTTGGTAGGGACAGAGGCGGTGGGAGCAGGGCCGGTTTGAGTCACAGGGCAGACAGTAGTGTATAGAGCGATGGTCTCAGTCACAACCCAAGGGCCGCCGCTACCGTTGGCAGGGCAGTTGGTGACAGAGGGAGGGCACTGGGTGACGGTGCGGATCTGAGTGGTGCTGACGGTCGAGGTGGTCATGGAAACAACGGAGGTCGTGGGAACAGCAGTGGTGGCAATGAAGGTCGGGCGGACAGAAGTGGTCTGGTTACCGTAGAAGGTGGAGGAGAGGCTACTGAAGCTGCTTGAGGGGGTAGTGGTGGCCCTGCTGGTCTGCTGGGAGGCAACCGAGGACGAAGCAGCGGCGGATGAGGCACCAGAGGATAAGGGAGTAGTGGTAGCAAGAGTGGTAGCAAGAGCCGAGGAAGAGCCAGCAACAGAGGAAGAAGCGGTGCTGGAGACGGCGGTAGAAGAAGTGGAGGGCTTGTTGGTACCGAAAACGCGGATATCCTTGATCTGGAAGAAGGCATTGACGAAGGCAGAAGGATTCTGGGAGATGTAGTCGATACAGGTGGCAGTGTTGGTCTTGGCCTTGCAGCTCTTAGACCATTCGCTGTCGAAGCCAGCGGGCTCACCACAGAAGTCGAGGTTGATAACCAGCTTCTGATTGGAGAAGTGACCGTCAACATTACACATGCTGTTCTTCAGGTAGACGTTGGGCTGGCCCCAGGTGTCAGTATCAGGAGAGTCAGAGTTGACATTGGCTGGAGCATTGCCGGTGGCCCAGGAGTAGAGCTTGATGGAGTCACTGGTCCATTCCATGGCGTCTGGCGATCAGAGATGAATTATCAGACAATGTACCAAAATTCGGAAGGACGTAAAATCACTTACAAACACCACCATTAGAGGCACCGTAGGGAGCGGCGTAGTCATTGACAGCACAACCCTGGTTCTGGTATTGGAGCGGCTCGTTGCTGTATGTATTATCGCAGTTGTCGGTCTTGACAACACCCGTCTGGCCATCGTTGGAGATCTTGCATTGGCCATACTTGGCAGAGTTTCCGGTGTGTAGAGCAGGGCCATTGAAGGTGGCGTCGTTCCAGCCCTCGTAGATGTCGATCTCGCCATCACTATCCTAATGTTAGGGCTGACTATCCACGGAATTTGATAGGAGAGGAGATACTCACTTGGGCCAGTCCTTGCCGTAGGTCCAGCTAATTTGATCTTGTCTTAGTTTCACGGGCTTTCTCTTCATTTAATATTGGTGTGTGTGAATCTTACAAGGCAGGCCAGAGACCACAAGTGGCCTGGGGCAAGTGAGAGAATCGAGCGATGAACAGGCCACGGTTGTAAGCTTGCTTGGACTCGAGACGAACACTGGGTCGGCCGGGGTTGTAGGCTCCCTTCAGAACGGAGGTGGTGTCAACACCAAGGTAGACCTCGTTGTCCTTGTACTTGGCAAGTCCCTGGCTGAGAGCGTTGTCCTTGCTCAGGTAGTTGACATGACCCTTGGCGGGATCAATGTCGTTGTAGTCACCAGTGCCGAACTTGCTCTGTTAACGAATATGAGTCAGTCATTTGCTCTCCATTCAACTCAAGTTTCAAGCGTTCACAGCCCCTCTTGTCTTACCTCCCAGAAGCTGAACTCATCGAAGAAGTTGGTGGCATCGTAGGTCTTTTCAGTATACCAAACCTTGGCGGCAACGTTGCCACTGAGGGCGAGGGCGGCCGCGGTGGCCTGAAGGAGAGTGGTCTTCATTATAGTGAGTGTGTATTAGTTGGATAAGGAGTATAAGTAACGATTGTATGAAGTGAGTAACGAATGACTTGGACGTGCGATACGTCAATGGACGAGCCTAAGGACGACTCTTTGGGTGCGGATCCAATGAAAGATGAACACTGAGAAGAAAGAAGAGAAGAAGAATCAGTCCTCCAAGATATCCGCGGGTTTTCTCTCATCAGACAACCCCATAAGGGGTCTGGTCCACGCCCACCAACACGGGGCTGGCTGACTGCCTGGAGAGGCGTCCACTAGCCCATCTCATTCCGGTCCCATCAAACATGTAAATTACCTCTCTTGGCCCCTTCCAGCTCTCCGGGAACGAATCTGGGCCTAAGACCGCATGAGACAGTGGTTCTCATGACTAGGCTATTGGAATTAGCCTCCGGCCCACACTGAAGGATATGGCATAGCCGGCTCCTGGTCTTCTATGTTGGCGCACCCAAGACGAACATGGGCCAATCACGATAGATGTATCTGGTTGAAGTGGGAGTCTGAATATCCGGAGGAAGAGAAGCCAGGGCCTGGAGCCGGCTTCCTGTGAAAAGATTGGGTGAGGCGGGATGGGACCATGCAGGAACACAACATATTGGCGCCAAAAATGGATGCGTAGTGTTTGTACTTTTGAGCAACAAACGACCAAATTTTCACGAAGAAGGTGAGGTTAATGGGATTCATGTGGCTGTTGTGATGAAATTCAACCATCATCCAAGTCATTTTTGTTCTAATCACGGTCCTGGTTTCTGCTATCAAAGGTGATGTGATTCGACTGGCCTACAGCGAGCAAGGTACTTGGCTAGCCGTCATATAAAGGAACATGTCCATCCATGCACTCATACAGCAGCTCAGCTTTCTGCTGTGGGTGTCCGATGTGCCTTCGGATGCTGCCGGACTGTCAGGAATGCTGGCCCGCTGACAACAGGAGTAGCATTATGCTTCCATTGCCATCTCAACATTGCCCAGCCAAGTGTTCCAATTGGTGTTTATTTTGGTCTTCATTTGGGTGTGCCATTTCCTGTGCCAGCCACTGACCACGACATGAGGAAAGCTGCCCGCTTCGACTGGTCACATGAGTATTCTGACAGTGGCGTGTTTTTCTTCTTCAGCTTGCCGCGCGTGTCTGTCTGTGTGCTCGTTGACAGCGGGTCGGGCACAAAGTCATGCAGGTACGCAGACCAGAACAGCCACACGCAGCATTTCCTGGTAATGGGGTACGCTTTTGGGCCGATCTGAACAATTAAGCGCCAGACTATCACTCCTAACCCCTGACAGGGACGTGTCTATGGCGGAGGCTGTCTGGGGCACCGGAGCATCTGAATGGGCGGGTGATGTCTAGTAGATGGGCCAAGGTGGATCGACGGCTTTGGACTATTGCTTGATGAAATAGCTTCGGCTTGATCGACCGCATTATTGAGACCCTCAGCCAGGTTCCAAGCGACAGTCGAGGCTGGATCCCCTCAGCCAGCTGCAAATTCAGCCAGCAAGTCTACCGGTGCTGTGCCCTGGTTGATCTGCAGCAGATCTGGGCAAGACGCATCACCAAGTCCTGGCTCTTGGGCTGATTGATCGGCTTTGAGAGTACAATTCCAATCGATCTCCCTCATCTCGCATCCAAATAATAGTACGGTTGAATAGACTGGCCAGAGCAATGTCACCGTCGTCAATATCATTTCCAATTCATCGCCACGTCATGCTATGAGTGAGGTGTTACACTATGCCCAACTCCGATTTGCTCCGCAGCCCACCAACTCACACGTACCCATACACATTAATACATCGCTTCATAACTTTCTTTTTCCTGCAATTCGCCTCTTCGGTTTACACAGTGCTGAGGTCTTCTCCTGAACAGCTGTGCTTCTTCTCGCGGCCAGTGGCAAGTCTTGCCCACTTGGTCAGGTTCCGGGCAATGCCACGCTTGCTGGCCGGGTTGGTGGTGGACTTCTCGCGCGGCGGGATACCCTTGGCGTTCAGCGCGAGCTCTGCCGCAGCACGGGCAGCCGCCTTGGTGTTGACGGTAATGGCCTCCCAGTTGACATTGTCAAGGTCATCGCACGCAAGATGGTAGCAGGCGTCGTTGGGAGCCCCCGCACCGGTGAATAGACCAGAGGAGGGGATGCCCAGCTCGATGAAGGCTACGTAGTCGGATGATGAACCGAAGGCACCCCATTCAGCCGGGTAGCCCTTGGAGGTCAGGTAGTCGAAGAGGAAGTTGCCGCCAGTCTTGTGCGCGTCGGTATCGGCATAGACCTCATACAGGGGCACCTTGGAACCGATCATATCGTAGTTGTAGTAGAACCGGATCTTGTCGGCCTCGTCCGAAGACAGCTGAGAGCCATAGTAGAGCGATCCAACCAGGCCGCTCTCCTCAGCTCCCCACCAGGCGAAGCGAACCTTGTTCTTGATGCCGCTGTACTGCTTGAACGACTCGGCAATCTGCAAGAGGGCGACAGTGCCGCTGCCATCATCATTGATGCCGGCGCCTTCCTGGACACTATCGAGATGAGCACCCAACATGATGACATTGTTCGGGTCACCTTGCTTAGTCTCTGCGATGATGTTCCAGCTCTCGCGGTCCTCGGCGACGGCGTCAACGAGGAGAGTCACAGTAAGCTCCTCGCCAGCATCGACACGGGTCTTCCATGCGGCACCTTGCTCATAGGTGATGACTCCGACAGGTGCAATCTGACCAAAGTTTTCAGCGGACAAGGTGGCAGCTGTGATACTGTCGCCGGGCACGTTGTTGGTGAGCACAACAGCCTTGGCACCAAGATTCTTGGCGAAACGAAGCTTGTCAGCAATGGCACACGAGCCACGCTTGACAAGAGCAATCTTATCGGTGACATCAATGCCCTCCCACTGATCAGCAAAGCAGCCCGAGCCTCGCTCATCGTCGATGGGCAGCGCGACCAGGACACCGGTTGCGCCCTCCTCAGGCGTGGGGTTGTTGTACATCAAAGTCTGAACCCTGACGTCGCTGCCATCAGGCCCAGTCAGGGTGATCTTGTTGGTGGCGGCGAAGAGATGAGTGAAGGGCTGGACTGTGGTGTCAAAGTGCTTGCCGAAGCGGGTGGCCACACGTTCAAGGACAAAATCCAGGGAGGCGTTGTAGCCGGGGAGGCCGAACGCGCGATTGCCACCATTGTCTTTAGCAATTTTGAGCAGGTTCCAGAGATCGCTCTGCAGCCTGTTTGACTATTGTTAGACACATTATACTTTAGGTAGTGTTACAATTGGTGTGTATGGGCATTCTGTGGCAGGGATGAAGAATCTGGGGTAAGCGGCGGAGCTGAATCTCCCCGCCACACCTTCGAAGTCTTTATCCAGAAAATGAGAGGCACGGTCTCTTTCCCAAGGGCTGCGCTTGAATTGTCGCAATGAACATAGGCTCTGGGATGTGACTCACTTGTCCTCTCGGATATCAGCCTCGACCTTGTCAGGCGTGATATCGTTGGTTGCCAGCGCCTCAGCGGCCAGGAGGCCAACAAAAGCAAGATGGTTGAGCTTCATTGTGAGGTATTGCTTCAGGCTTCTCAATTGGAGTCCCTGGCTGACCAAGCTCGAGAGGGGACGATGGTGATCTTAAATACACGTCAAGCGTCTTGAGAGATGCGACCCCCTGGTACCGACAATCGCAATTGAGCTGGGTTTGGCGTGATAGCAGGGGAATGGGGTCGGGAAGATGCCAGGATTATGATATGTATCTCTGCTGGGTGTATATGTGGTGGCGTTGACTGGGTAAGTACCCATTCAAGCAGGCTGTTATCGGTTTATTCTTCTCCTTCATCCTGCCGATTGAGCGCTCGCAATTGCAGCCTTCATTCAAGAATTCGATAGCCTCGTCAGGTAGTCTATTGTATCAACATAACATCGAATAACTGCTGAAGTGCTGATTTTGCTGTGCTGCAGAGGGAGTGTTCCGGATGTTCCATCTACTTGCCATACAACCGAGAGTTCCCCAGGCAAACCCCGATATAGAGCATTTGCCAGTGCTCCCGTCAGGACGGACGTAGAGCCGAAAGGGCAGGTCGTTGTGCAGTGCCCAGGAATGGTGGTGGGCTGCAACCCTGGGGGATTTTTGTACAAGAATCATAAACAGCCGCAGAAAGGGCAGATGAATGCAGCTACGGACAGCTCTAGCTGCATACAGCTATCGTATGGGTGGCGAATGGAGAGATGCCGTATCTTTTCCCAGCGCACGTACGCAGATTGATTTGGAGAGTGTTGCGCGTTCCTCGGGCACTGCAGATAAAATACGCAGCTGGACGGGACAGGCACCAATCCCAGCCATCAACATAAGCAGCACAGTCCCTGCAGAACATGATGTATTCAGCATAGCGTCTGGTACTTTAAAATTATGCGCAAGTCCTTAACGGAACGACTCCTCGACTTTGCCCACGCTCCCCTATAGAAGCTGCGTAGGCTCGCAGAGAAGAATGGCAGCACCCTCGCTTGTTGTTCAATCCCTTGCCTCGAGTCTGGAGCCTAACTTTGGCTATGTTATCACAGCAAAACCCTGTCATTTCCGCCTTTTGCCTCGTCCGTGTGCCATCGCCCAACAGTAGAATGGCGGCACTCATCAGTCAACAATTCACCAAGGACTAGGTCCCCCGCCAAGCCACCGAAGCCTGCCTCCTGCCTGAAGCAGCAGAGGAACTTGTGGCAATTGGATCGGACCCTTTGTCGGCGATGCTCAAAGGATGCAAAAAGAGTAGTCGAGGCCAGTGGCGATTGATAGAGCTCATTCACACACGCACAGCCATGGCTGCCAACAGACTACTTGTAGGTAGCTTTGAGTATTGACAATCCATATACAAGTTACACAACGGTAACACATGTTAACAAATACACTCGGCTCAATCACATCAATTTGGTAAAAACTATATCTAGTAGGAGCAAACCTACCCAACCAAAAGCTCGCTATTGCATAGGGTGACAGACTCTCGCCGACAATCCAACGGCCATTCCTAGCACGTAACCAGCGCTATCACTTCTGGGTCGCTCTCGAGATTTGTAGTATATAGAATAGAAGTTTTCTCAACCCAAGGAGGCAGAAAGTCACCAAGGCACTCTGCTCCTGCATCAAGTACACGAACCAACTTCCTTCTTCGTTGCTTTAATAACGCCTGTCAGCGCAGCACCAATGGCCAAACCAAACTCGAGACTGCAGACGACACACGGCGGGCACCTCAATAATCTTTGAAAATACTAAACTACATGTCGGTTTCCATCATGCCATGCCCAACAGCGAACGAGTCTGGTTTGAAGCGCAGGGTACGCCGCATAGCCGCCTGCATGGCAAATCAGCTCATCCCAATGTTCGGTCACCACCTCGTCGCGAGGATTCAAGTTGTGAGATGTATGAATACTGCAGTACTCCGCAACGGTTGGGAGCCGCAGGTTCCCTGGCCGGGGGCTGTCAAATAACACCCAGGCACGCTGCCGATAGAGTCGAAGCAAATCGTGAGGATACCACTCGTCACCCAACATGGATTGATACATATCCTCCCCGTAGCGAACAATTCTATGGACACATGTGCTTTCGCAATAGGGCAGATCATGAACCAACTGCCGGCATAGTTGGAGTACCAGCTCTCGAAAGTCTATGATGCTACTAAGAAGAGTGTTAGTCAATAGGTCGAAGCCACAACTGGCCATGAAGCTGAAGGGAACATCACTCCATCCGTCACCAAGTTCACCCAGATCACCCCAGTCTGTGCATTTGGTCCAACCATTTGGAGCGTCCCAAAATCGCCGAGCACGCAGTTTAGGGGCGTTTTCAAAGATCTGAGTCTCCCACCACTTGGGTATAGGTGCCTTGAGCACCTCCGAGATAACCGCGCCATAGCAGGTCAAGACGTACTCGCGAACACAAGCAAGTAGGCTCGATTCTCGAGGTGTTTGTGTTTGATGATCATATCTTGACAGAACGTGCCAGTCCCAATAACGAAAAGGGTCAGGTGCAGACTGTTCAAAAGTGTAGTCGGTGATGATATCATTGTCATTGTCGCCAAAGTCTGAGCTCATATCCAAGTGGTCTAATTTCCAGTGGTATTCTATCATAGTGTCAAACTTTTGCCCAATATCTCCATCAAGCTGTTGCATCCGGGAATGGCAGCAAGGTGGGTGGATGCCCCCAACAGGGACGTTTGCTCCTGTCCGCGGACCATAAATTTTGCAAATCAACTCGTACCGGATGAATGCAACGAAGATCCGTCGTTTTTCGTCAGCAGTCAAAGTTTTGAGGACAAAACTGCATTCTTTGTCATCGAAATGGCGTTGGGAGAATCCTTGCGAGAAATCAGGATGAGCCCAACTTGGAAAACGTCGATAGGACCGGCGAGCACGTGCACCGTTCGCTTTGAGGAGATAATCCTCCACGTACAACGAGATGCGGCCGAAAAGGGCGACGAGAGATCTACGTCCCTCGTGGTTGTAGCGTTGAAGAAAAGGGTTTGGAAGCTCTTTGGCCCCCCAGGCTTGGAGGTGTTTTTCCACGGCAGTGACTCGCTCCTCTGGTTTGCATTTTGTGACGTCGGCCTCTGGAAAAAGTATAACAGCCATGAAATCTTGGATGAGGCTATGGTCGTTGATGAGCATGCTTTCATTGTGCTTGCGTTCAATGTATTCAAGATGATTTGAATACACCTTGAAAATGGCTGGAGAGGCTCGAGATAACGAAGAACACAGGTCAAGATCGTCAGTCGAGACCAGGATATTGAGCTGGATTTCCACGGGGAGTTCCTGAAAGGGATCCATGGTTGTGCTAAATTTGAAGGTGTTAAATCTAGGCGTGGACATCAATGTTCTTCTCTCTTGGGAAGAGGCACGTAGTTTAAGTACTTGCAGAATAAACTTTATTAGCATTCCCTGAAACCTGGCTCTGATATGAAGCTTGATACCTTCTCTCGCCGTCGGGAACTTCATAGCAAATTAATTTTCTAGCACCAACCTTCCGTCGTAGCAATACAGCACTTAGCCAGTCACTGTCTAAAGGCTGATGAACTAAAGGGCAGGCTATAGTCTATGACCTCTAAAAGTTTTACCAGAAAATGCTTCATTTCGAGAACTCCTTAGATTCCACAAATTAGTCTTTTCGGGATGTGGTGATAGCTTCACTTTGAAATACGCCCCGCTTCAATCCGTCGTGTATAGCTGACATAAACAACTCGAGCCTGCCGAAGCTGGAAAAAGGAATAGTCACCATCAGAAAAGTCATCGGGAATGCTCTTAGCGGTTTTCTTGGTACTCTTGAATGTGAGAGGTACTTGGGAATAATATTTCTCCGTCTTTTCCCTTTTTTTTTTTTGCAAGCGTCAAACCGTTGCAAGCCACGATCCAAAGCGTGTGTTAAGAAAATTCTGATCAGAAGCAAATGACATGGATGCGCCCGGCAGCCCGCGTTTAGTGTCGGCTTTGGCGCGGGGCAAACCAGAGCCAACCTTGATGAGCACCATTCAGCCCCTCCTGGTGTGATTGCATTTTCTTTACGTATTCGCCCGCGCCCCCATCCTTGTCCGGATCGGTATCACGAGTTTTTGCTTGCTTGCTCGCCATTTGTTTTTCTCTCGCTCGTGCAGCTTGAGTCTTCCTCAATTCTCCTCCCTCCTCCTCTTCCTCCCCATCCTTCTCCCCCGCCCCTTCATCCATTTTCAGTGGCATCCGCACGTCACCCATCATGGCCGAGCTCCCTCACACGCCTCGCCAGGCCGCCACCGTCCTCTCAGCCACTGAGTTGATTGGAAACTCGCCTCTCGTGCGCCTAAACAAGCTTCCGCAGTCCCTCGGTATCGAGGCCGACATCTACGTCAAGGCCGAATTCTTCAATGCGGGCGGTAGTGTCAAGGACAGGATCGCCCTTCGCATGGTCGAAGAGGCCGAGAAGAGCGGTCGCATCAAGCCAGGCGACACTCTTATCGAGCCTACGAGTGGCAATACGTACGACCCTCTTCCTCATTTCCATTGCGCAAGCCCCTTCAGGCATGCTAACTGATTTTCGCAGCGGCATTGGCCTAGCTCTCGTCGGCGCGATCAAGGGTTACAAGACCATCATCACACTTCCCGAGAAGATGTCCGCCGAGAAGGTCTCCGTCCTCAAGGCCCTTGGCGCAACCATTATCAGAACACCCACACAGGCTGCTTGGGACGCTCCCGAGTCCCACATTGGTGTCGCCCGTCGCCTTGAGAAGGAGATCCCCAATGCGCACATCCTCGACCAGTACAGCAACAAGGACAACCCGGAGGCCCACGAATTCGGCACTGCTGAGGAAATCTGGACACAGACTGGTGGAAATATTGCTGCCGTTGTTGCTGGTGCTGGTACTGGTGGCACCATCACTGGTATCGCTCGCGGCCTGAAGAAGCACAGCAAGGACATCAAGATCATTGCTGCGGATCCCCAAGGCAGCATCCTCGCTTTGCCCGAGAACCTCAATGAGGAGCACATGAATGCGCCGTACAAGGTTGAGGGCATCGGGTATGACTTTATTCCTGACGTTCTCGACCGCGAGATTGTTGATAAGTGGTACAAGACCGATGATCAGGAGTCTTTCTACCTCGCCCGTCGCTTGATCGCTGAAGAAGGTCTACTCGTTGGCGGCAGCTCGGGTTCCGCTCTGGCCGCCATGGTCCTGGCCGTTAAGGACTTCGGATTCAAGAAGGGCGACGTCGTTGTCGTTGTGCTTCCCGACAGCATCCGCAGCTATCTCTCCAAGTTTGCTGATGATGACTGGCTCGACGCCAACAACCTTCTGCCCAAGACCTCCGATGCCAACAAGGCGGCACCAGCTCACAAGGCATCCTCAGACCCGTATAGCGGGGCCACCATTGCCTCTCTACGTCTCAAGCCCGTCACTTCCATCTCAGCCACATCGAGCTGCTCCGAAGCTATCGAGACCATGCGCGACAAGGGATTCGACCAACTCCCCGTCCTCTCCGCCTCGTCCAAGCTGGTCGGTCTGGTAACCCTCGGTAACCTCCTCAGCTACATCTCGCGAGGCCGCGCCACTGCCGACAGTCAGGTCAAGGATGTCATGTTCGACTTTGCGCGCATCGACGAGATCATTACCGACCCTCGCCAGGGCGCCGCCTCGGCTGGCAAGCGCAAGTTTGTTGAGATCACCCTTGACACCCCCCTCGCCGAGCTCAGCAAGTTCTTTGAGTGGAACAGTGCGGCCGTGGTCACCGAGAAGGCCGACGATGCCACTCTGTCCAAGCCCATTGCCATCGTCACCAAGGTCGATCTCCTCACCTGGATGGTGAATAAGAAGCTATAAAGTTTGGGGACTTGTTCTTCCCCTCTTTTTCCTTTATGTCTCCTTTTCTGCAGTCCATCTGTAGAGTGTTTGCATTGGAGCGGCTCAGCATGTCTCTTGGCGTTAAGAATTGAAATTTGGTACAATTTTAGATCGTGAGATAACGCGTTTATGCGTTATATTTCTCCTGGGTGGATGGGTTTAGTAGAGAAAAATCATCTTACCGCTGACACTTCAGCTTGATTCAACATGGAGAATGTTACGAAAGACTTTCAACATTATTTGTAATTAGCTAAAATAAAGAGATAGCACCAATAAACCCAGGCTCTCTCTTTCCTTTTTGATGCAATTCCCAACCTATAAACCGTCAAACTCGTTGACAATTGTTTGTCTCGCTCATATACGTTGAGCAATCCACCACCACCACTTTTCAGCCCCAGGGCCGTCTCCAGTGACATTTCCAGGGAGTACATCAACGTCGATTTCAAATTCTTGCATTTGCTTGAATGAGAACTTCTCGGAACCGTACTCGCCCAGCCAGGCATCCTGCTCCTCGGAGCCAACGTCGTCTATGCCCACGCCTGAATCCAGCAAGCCTTTGCTCCTCGATGAGCGGATGCGGGACAGCTCCGCTTCTAGGTTGGTCTTGACCAGGGTCGAGGGGAGTGCAGTGAATAAGTCGACCTTGTTGGCAGCAATGAGAACGGGGACAGGCGTGTTATTCTTCTTGTTATTGTTGGACTTGTCGCTCACGCGCTTCTGGAGGAAGAGGAGGATATCGTAGAGGTAGGAGGCAGTCGGGGCAAGAGACTCGGGCTCGCCCAGTGCGGCGGCATCGACCATGAAAACAATGGCCTTGAGCCTCTCGCAGCGGTTGAGTCGCTCCATGGCGACATTGCGTAGCTTGCCGTGGCCGGGCGTGTCGATGAGGAGGAACTTGGTGTGGGTGCCGGTCGTATCCTCGTGGTTCTTGTAGCTGTACTTTGAGCTACTATCCGTGGAAGCGTTGAGCTCGACTGAGTGTGACTTTTGGGAAGTATGCGTCTGCGAAGGCGAGTCACCACGCTCGAAAAGAGTCATCAAGGACGTTTTCCCCACGCCATCGGGTCCGACTAGAACCACCTGAGGGTGGATGATGTAGGATGTCGAGTTGGCTAAAACAAAGTGGAGGATAATTGGACCACCGAGAACCAAGACAATGGCGATGATGGCGAGGGTATAGGAGGGCGTGAGTGAGCTCTCCACGATAGACCAGAATGTGGGAGAGGGCATTGCGGGCGGCTCGAGGCAACAGCCAGATTCTTTTGGATCCGTGGCGGTTATGGCATACGAGATCGATTTCGAGCAATTGGGTTCGGGATGTGTTCGGGAGTCGAGGCGCCCTCTCTTCCGTAGTTGGGCAATCTACCTTGGGGGGAAGATCTGGCGAGTTCATAAAGTGGGATTCAGAATTATAACCAGGTGGCGTCACATGGATGGTTGTGTTTGCGCCGACTCCGGGTGGAGAGAGAACCTACCCTATACTTCTTCACTGCTCTGCCCAGGGCGGAGCTGTATTGGATATGTTTGTGACGGGAAAAGACAAAAGAAGAGACAAAACTCAAGTATATTTCTAATTACTCGGTTTTGTTTATGTGCGCTATTGTCTATGTGTGTGCTCTTTGATTTCGATGTTATACGTTTCGCTTCTGGGCCTTCAACCCGAATGCAAGTCGAGGCGGTTCTATAAAATGAAGCTGGTAAATGAGATGAATGACGATCTTTCCTATCGTATTCGATTTCGCAAGGCGCATCTTGACCGAGTACCACGGTGACTTGGCCCCTGTACGATTCCATGTCACGCTCGGAAACTGGCAACCAACAGAGCCAGGGCCATGAAACAGGCATCATGATGCGACGCTGGATCTCGAAGTCAACCTTCTGGTGGTGTACTGTGCTAGCACGTACCAGCCACTCTCCGTGGCACGGCGTGAAGCCACACCAGCTGCCAGCATTCGGCCCAGAACGAAGGAAAGAACGGCTTCCAGGAAGCCACATCTGGCGGATAACTCGGATCGTGGCTGAGCTAAGCCGCATATAGTACGCGGTAGCCAATTAGCACGGCGGCTGATCTCACGTACATCCCGGTCTGCTCCAACCATCCCCATCACACCAACAAATTTCAGTGGGGGGAGAGGTGAAGCACAGCGCTGTGCAGTTACCACCCTTACGTATCTTCGTCTGGAGATGCTAGAGCTTGCTTCCCTTGCCTCTAGAGCATCTTAGCTCCCCTAAGCCGACTCTTCCACGCGTCCTTACCCTGGGCGAGATACCCACTCCAAACGTCCAGCATCTTGTACTCAACGCTCCGTCTCGAGTTTTCCGGACCTCCTTTTCTTAGCTCCTCTCTTTCTTCTTGGCTTGACTTGGGACTTACGTCGAGCACCGCCGTGGCATCCGTTCCTTCGTTAATGACTAATTAGCCTACTGCATTTCTAGCGACTCTCCAATCCAGGGTTATCAATT